ACTGCAAGTTTAGGGAAGATAAAAGGATTTGTTTCGAGACCTCTTAATCGTAGTATTTCTGATATGGGATCGGCGAGGGTAATCAGGCTAATTGTCGCCGAACAAAGAAGGCAAAAATCGCTTTTTAATACAAAGAGATCCTATTTTTTGGATTTCTTTTTTGATAGGTAAAATTTAAGGGTATCGTTTTTTTATAAATCTAGTTTTTTTGATTATTTACTAGATTAGATTTGCATTCATCAATTTTTTTTATTGCCTTAAATTGAACAGCGGGAATTGGGAATAGATAGATAGTTGGTAGTTAGATAGATTCTAGAACAGGAAATAAAGACGATTAGGCAATAACGCAGAGGACATTGGATATAAAGTTTAATCATAATTGATTAATAATAGAGTCTTAGAGATTGGCGAAAAAAGACTTTAATTCAATGTATTGGTGTGAAAAAAAAGGAATAGAAATAATTGAAACATTTGGACAATTTAAGATTCAAATGTGTGTCGGTCGAAAATTGCAGAGGAAATATTGTGTGAGCTGTCTAAACCTGTTGAATTAGTTGCAACAATACGGTACCGGGAGAGAAATACAAGAAAACAGTGTTTTATGCTGTTCACCGTCTGTAATTTGATTACCACTGCTTAATGACGACAAATGAAGCAAAAACAAACTCTAATTTTTTTTTAACGCTTAATCGAGAAGTGGAAATGGATGGGAAAAAGAACATTTGTCTTTTAAAAATATATATTTTGACATTTTTTAAAAAATTTCTTTTTTTTATTTGAGTGCTCTATGTATTTGAACTAGAATACAAGCCTGTTTCTGTTCTCGGTCACCAATATCACCATCCAACATTCATTGTTGTCTGAATTGTCTGGCTTTAACTGTTCAAGCCGCAAAAAAATGTTCACCGACCTTCAGGTTGATGCTTAAGCTTATCTATCAGCCACTTATCCGTGTCGGCGGCGACATGTTTTTTGGTCATCGAGACGATTTCCGACAGTGTTTTGAGTAGTTTGCCCGATCTGTTATCCCATCTTCGCGGTCGTTATCGTCGTGTGGACGATATACAGGGCGGCTCTCCTCCGCTTGCTGTTTAATACTGATGAAGCAAAATGAATTGGCCTCTTGGACGATACTCAAACACTGAACACAGCCCAGGTTGTGGTGACCTTGAAGCTAGGTTATTCCTGGTTTATTCACCAATGCTTTCCATAAAAGCATTTTTTTTTCTATCGCACTTTAGTACTTTGTTTTTACTAAGGTTATTTATTTATTTTTTTGCTTTTTTTATCAATTAACTTCAGTTTCACTTTTTTTTTCTTTATTGTTTATATATTCAAGAAATAAACAAAAGAGAAAAATGATTCTACTGGGGTATTTTTATGGGAATACAGTCAATCTGAAACAGGGGAAAAAAGTAAGCAAATAAGTAGTTCTGTAATACTTATGACAATGAATTTTGAAGTTTAAAAGCAAAAGCAAAAAAAAAAAAAAAAAAAAAAAAAAAA